ATGTTAGAGCAGAAACAGGGAGTACCAGAGAATCAGAGTTTTGCCTTCAACTCAGAACAGAGATCATGAGAAAGCTTTAGCTTGACTTTTCCATTCTGACAACAGAGCTTGTGGTTTGGTGCTACCAAGTGGCCGTAGCTGGGGCATTCTGCACTGACCTCAGGAGAACGAAGAGGCATGTTGAGCTGGTCAGTACTTCACCATCCCAGTGCCAGGCTTAGAGAGCTCTCTTGACTGACTGGTTTGATTTAGGGCTTGTTTTGGGGTTTTGGGAGTAGTCTACGCAGCTATACCTCTTCTTTTTTTCCAGTGGCCTAGGGATCCTACTTTTACCACCTAGTGAAATGAAACAAATACATCGTCAATGAGAGAATCATGACAATAAGCTACGAGGAACTCAAAGAGGTGTGACATTTCACCCAGCTCTTCCTTAATGAGTGTTCTATGCAACCCTCCTGATATATATGGGGATGGGAAAGTAGAAACTCTTGATTTAAGCCTTTTAGCCTGTTAGGAAGGGTGTGCCTTTCTGAGCTACTCTTTTATGTTTAGGGGAGGACTATGGGGTTTAGAAGGAGGATACCCTTGTCTGTTTGTGAAAGGAGTCATATCTGCCAAAGGCACAGCTGCTTTGAGAAAATGAGAAAAAGCCTTGAATCTGAGGGCAGTATGTGTGAGTTTTCTCTCTGTTAGAGCTCTTGGTGACATATGTGGGAGACAGCCTCGTTTGCTGCGCTTCCCACTGGGTACTGGCTCCATGCCACAGCCACACTGTCAAATCTTTTCATTTCACCTCTGTGCTATATACCTTAGGGTAGAACCAGGTACAGGGGATGAAAAAGGTTGCTGTCTTCTTTGGCTTCTCCCTCTGTGAGGAAGATTTTTCCATAATTACCAAGAAAACCAGTTTCAAAGCTATGAAAGAGAAATCCAATGAAACCCATGGAAAGTTTGGGGATGTCCTCTTCAGGAAGGGTAAGTCTTTGCAAATGGTGAATCTACCTTCTGAAGTAGAACTCTAGAAGGAGTTTTGCATACGTTTTCTCACTTAGCCATGAACTCATTAGATTGTATACAAAGGACTAGTGTAGTTAATTTCTCTCTTGTGGCATCCTGTGCAAGCTTCTGCCAGTGATGGGATTTGGGGGTTGTTTGTGAGAAGTTTATCAGAGTGACGGGCTTTGTGTTCTCAGTCATTGCTTCCGTGTTGGTCTTTTTTTGTGTAGCAGCCCTGGTTAGTTAGGCAAGTGAGGTGCGAAGGTGTGGGCCAACACTGCTGAGGTTATGCCAACAACTTTGCACCAAATCTGCCTAGGCTCTACCGTTACTATGTGCAGAAGAGTTGTGGTGTGGCCTTTGCCTGTTGATCAGGTGATGAGGCTGCAAATGCCACTTCATGAAAGTTCCCTTTGAGAAGAGGTGTGCTAATGGGACAAGAATCTCTTGAACCTCAAGGGAATGCATTGCTCATTGCTCTACTGGCCTCATAAGCATCTTATTGATACCTTCTCAGTGAGAGCTTAATTTATCTTCTCTCAATGCATGTGACAGTCGTGACCACAGAGATGGTCCCTTACAGACCTGGGGCTGGGGTCAGAGCTCTGGCAGCCCGCCTGCTCCCCATGGCATCAGGAGTTTTTGGTTTCTGAACACTCTGGATATGGTCCTGCTTTAATCTCTTTCCTTCATGACTCCCTGGAGGAAGAGGGATTTAGCCACTCTCCTCTCTACCACCTACCACAAAAAACTTCCCTCTTCAGAGAAAGCAATTCATGAATGAGTTTTCCCTGGTGACAAAAGCAGATTCTCCTCTCTTCTGTGTAAAAGATTCATGAAGGCACCATGGAAGCCCTCTGGAGGAGGAGGGTGGGCATGCAGGCAGTCCACCAACAGTGCTCCCCGTGGTCTGGCTACAGCCTTTTATTCTAATCTTTGCTACATTGCCTCTCTCAGGCAATCAGACTTCTCAGAGGAATAAATCAGATCCTGCCTTGTGTAGGCAGTAACTGTCCCATTGCTGTGTAGGTATTATATTCTCTCAGGAGCATCTTCCTTCAGCTTTTGGTACTTGTTTTACACAGGAGTTGTTGGGAGCTGGAAAGATCTCAGCTCTAAGGCTCAGAATGAAGAAATGTATTGGAAATTTAAAGATACTCTAGGAGGAACAAAGATGGCAGCGAAGATAAAATATGATGTGTACTGCAAGGCCTGAAAATAAGCAGATGAGGAGCATGACAGCAAGTCATGTTCCAGAGATGTTTCTCCAGAATTGGATAGTCCCCATTTTTCCTTTCCATGAGAGAACAGAAAACCCCCTTTAAGGACTACCTGATGTCTCCAAGAATTTGAGTGGTAATTCTTAGGTGGGTCCTGGGTCTAGGGCATGTGCTTTGCTTGATGTAACCAAATAAAATGTGTGTATACCTCAAGTGAATGCCTGGTATCCTTCCAGGAGGAAGATGGTGCACAAACATCTTAGAACCAGTCTAGTGGCCTCCCTATTTCTGCTTCACAGCCTAAAACGGTAATGAGGCCCCTGCAGTGCTCAGTGGGAAGGCAGAGAGATAACACAGAGCCTCTTCTTCTGGCACACAGTGGACTTTACATGGATATATGGTGTGGATCTAAACCCACAACTGTCTGTGTACAGGGAGAACATGGTAGTCTGGGTTTAGATCTGCCATGGCTACTATGGTGTTGACAGGTCAGAAAAGCCTTTGGCACTTTGGCAGACTCCACACACTGGTGAAGGGTGGGACTTCTTGAGCTCTTACAGTCATGAACGCTTAAGCAATGAACAGCTGCATGTTTTCTGAAGTGTTTTGTTCCCATTTGCCTCTCTGGGAAAGTAAGTGGCAAGAAGGAAGGACCATGACATTCAAACAAGAGGATCAGGGAAAAAAAGCCCCTTGATGATCCTGTAGCTAAATTAGCGCAAAGTGGCTTTATTCAACAATAAATACATGATACTACGTAGGTATGTTTTCCACACCCTCCTTGCTCATATCAATGTCCTTGCTTACATCTATGCTGCATGGCCTCTTGTCACAACCATTCTTTTGGGAAACTAGGGAAATGTCTGTTCAGCAAAGGGAATTCAGTTCCTTGGAAGAGGGATTCCTCTCACATATTCCCAGACAGATCTATCTACCAGACACTTGCACTGAATTAAGACTAAAAATGGAGCAAAAAGCAACCAAAAATGTAATTTAAAAAAATGGAAAATTGTTAAGTCCCTGTCAAAGTGCAGACTCTCCCTGCACAGCTCCTCAGGACTGTCCTCACCATGCCCATGGTCCAGGATCCATATCAGCCCCCGGGGCTGTCTTACCCTGCTCCAGTTGCACCTCAGCATAATCAGACTTCAACTCCTCACATGCTGCACTGTCTGGCCACCAGTCCTGCCAAGCTGAACCCATCTACAGACCCACATTCTGGCCAATCCTCAGCCCATCACCTTTCCCAGGAAAGTGATCGATGCCTGCAGCAGAGACTCACTGCCTTGGTGCTCCTGGCTGCCCTTCACCTGGCTGGAGGATGGGATGGGCCCAAAGTATCAGGCCCTGCCTCATGCCTCACTGGAAGGAATAATGATGAGTGCTGCAGATTCAGCTTTGATGGGACACTCACAACCTGCTTCCTCGTCAGATTGTCTAAATGTCTGTGCAAGAGCTGCCCATGTGAAATTGCTTTGCATGGAGAGGTATGTTTGTTTGAACCTGACAGTTCTGGGTTTGTAGGTTTTCATTTCCAGAAGAGAAGGACTTCATCTATCTCTGGGTTTCCATGGATAAGAAGAGACAAGACACCATGACCCACAATTTTGGAATTAGTAACATTTTGACCTATCACTTAGTACAGGTCCTTTGCTATTTAGTACAGGTCCTTTGCTATTTAGTACAGGGCTGAAGATGGTTTTGTCCAGGTGGATTTCCAGAGAAAAAGCCAATCAAAACTTTTACCAACGCCTTTGCAAATTACATATTTAAGAAAATGGAAGAGAAGCTGGTGGCGCAGTTGAAATTAGGAGCAGTAGCCATGTAGGAGTGGCGGTAGGCCCCAGGTGGGGGCCAGGCCCCCCTCCTCCCCCAGCCCTGGGCCAGGGGCAGGTGTGGCACCGAAGCCCCCCTTCTCTCCTGTAAGAGAGTAGAGAAAAGAAACCTTTAGAGATGAACCTGGACAAGACGTGCTGCAAAAGGAATTCCAGAGAGAGAGAGAGCGTAGCCTCCGAGGTTGAAGCTGGCAGCAGCAGGAGAGAGAAGTTCGAAGGGGGGGTTTGCTTCTCCCCCTTCTCTCAGTCTCTCTCTCTCCCTTCAGCAGGGAAAAGACTGAAAAATAAATCCCTGCTACCTGCGGAAGATTATTGGGGTGAAGAGACCCCCATCCGGCTCATAAAGGAGCTTGTGCACGCACGGGAAAACTGAAACTTCATGAGAAAGCCTGAAATAAGACAGAATTCTGCTGGAGGCTTGTAGGCCATGGACAGAGACTTACGCTGGAGCAGAACAGCTCGGGTAAGATGTTGGGATCCGAGTGAAGGATCCATGCTGTTGTTGAAGGTTTGTGACCCTGAGAGAGGCTTATGCTGGAGCGAGATGACTCGGGTAAGCTTGGGGTCTCAGTGAGAGACCCATGCTGGTGCTGGAAATTTGTGACCCTGAGTTGGGATCCGAGTGTGGGATCCATGCTGATGCTGAAGATTTTTGACCCTGAGAGACAGTAGAGAATAGAAGACCTGTTGCCTGAGAGATGGACTCACGTTGGAGAAGTCTATTAAGGACTGTTCTCCCATGGGGAGGAACCCCCCCAGGAAACAGGGGTGGACTCAAAAGCCAGTATCCCCTGTAACTCTGTGGTGAAGATCCGTGGTAGGCAAGTGTCCCCTTGCAGTTCCCAGAAAAGACCTTCAAGGCCTGGATAACCCCCCAGCCTTCGGTCTTAGCCAAGGAGGGGGGTAGGCCCAGCCCTGAGGCTGACATAGAAGAAAGAGAAAGAGTTCCAGCTGCAACAAAAAAAGAGCTGTCGTTCTAGAGATAACAGAAGAAGAACTTCTGAGTGCTGCAAAGTTATTTAAAGACCTGAAGCTCTGGAAATGGAGAATGAGACTGCTTCTCCTCCTTGAACTAATACGAAGGGGGGAGGGGTATTTCTATAAATACATAGTACTTTTACCTGATTAGAATTGTTGTAGATATAGTTCTTTAGTTTTTTAGCTTATTATTATTTTCGCACATCAGGTCTCTTTTGTCTGCATAAATCTTCTCTCAACTTATAGAAATTGTGTGGAGGGTGAGAAAAAATTGGCCCAGAGCAAAACCACGACATTTTTTGGTGGAGAATGCAGGCATAGACTGCCCAAAGAGGCAGTGGTCAGATCAAACCACAACAATAACAGAAAACAGTGTGCAATCTCAGTGTCTGCAAGGAGTTGAACAAAGGAACAAGACTGACCAAAAATGGGAAACTATCACTGAAATATTCAAAAGGCTTTTACTAAGATGTAAAGGTGGCGTCTCAAGAGCTGTTGGTTTTTTTTTTTTTCCCTGCAAAGACATTTTGCAGCCTAAGGGCCCTTAGCAGCCCAGAAAATTTGGAAGCTCTGAAATGCTTTTAAACCAGGAGTGATGATATGATTCTCACCATCTTTCCTAAGATGGATCTCTGTTGCTTGATGAAGCGTCCACTGCTGCAGTCTAGAATTGTGTTACTGCACATGGCAGAGCAATAATGCCCATGACAGGTTAATGGTGACTTCAAACTGCTGCAAAGGCACAGGATCAAAACTCGTATTTCCATAGCCTTCCTCTTGCAGGATGTAGGTCTTTCCTGACTGCTGGCTGGAGGTATAGGCACACCTGCCACCCAGACATTTGGAACCTTTTACTCTCCCTTCTGATGCCTTTCAATCCCAGCATTTGGGATTACTGGTTACCTTTATGTTTTCTCCCAGTCACTTAGAGAAAAAACTTAACATGTATTTGAAGACAAAATAAAAAAGAGGAGTTGATCTTTGATCTGCATTACATCCACTTAATGCTCAACTTGAAATTTTTTTTTTTCACACAGGAAAGGTGTGAATTGTGAGGTCTTATGTAAATATCAAAAGTCTTTTAGAGATAATTTGATATCTGAGTTGTAACATCTCAAAGTTTCAGCCAATCTTAAAAGAACTGTGTTAGAAAATGCTTTATGGGACTAATTTTAAGTGTAACATGGCCAGCATTCAACTCACTTAATTAGATGACGTGATGGTGAATGATGACTAAGCTCAGAGAGATGCAGCCTACTTTTAGCTCAACAGAGGGAAAGGACTTCTGGCTTCTAAAACAACATTTTTCACAGGAATTATTGCAATCCGACTTGGAGAGATGAGCTCAGCCTCTCCTGATGGTTAAAAGGCCAAAACTAGTTTTGGTTTTTAGGAGATAATGTTTGCACAGAAATACCTCTGAAAAGCAGTAAAAGCTTTGGATGGGATGTGAATTCTTTTAATCTATGAAGACTGTCACTTTTAACTATTCCTCCAATTTTAAAAAAATTTTCTTTTCAGAAATTGATAAATTGTACTTCTTTTGACTAAATTGTCGTTCCAGGCTGCTTTGCATTTGTTTCTAGGGATATAGTAATCAGTCTTTTCTGATTTGTGAGATCTTCTAGTTTCTCCGGTGATGTTACCCAACCCTACTTAAAGGATTTCCTTCTGACCTCTCAACCTGTGTGTACTTCTGGGTGTACATACTGGAAATCTTGACTGTAATGAAAGTTCCTTCCTAAGACACACAGTTCTTAATATTTTTTCCTTCCTTGGTTTTTTAGTTTCATGTATAGTTCATGGAACTATCTGCTTCTAGTAAAATGTCTATTTTACGTTTGCTTCCAATCCCATTAAGAGAAGGAAATAATTATCTTCCAGAAGATTGATATCAACCTCATGTCCTGCCCCGTTTGTACCTTTTCAAACCAAGTCTAAGGGGAAATTTTTTTTATTTAATCTGAAGGTAGTTATTTATAACATTTTCATACAGATTATATAGTTTTCAATTTCCTGTGTGTCTTTTCTGAGATTATATGTAGGCTTTAAAATGGTAATTATACATTTCTGAATGTGAAGTCATAAGTGCTGTTTATAAGGACTAGGGACACACATTCTCTAGCTATGGCACCAAAGGTTATTGCTGCCTTCACTCATCTCTACCAAAGACAAATGTTCCCTCAAATTTCCTTGGGGAACTGCTCCCTGGTCTCTTTCATCCCAAATAATCCAGACTAAGATATTTGTAGATAGACTGTGAAAGGATCTTGAGTTGTCCATAGCTTGGAGGTAAGCCTAACTAGTCTTTTTCTCTACAGTGTACATGCCATAAATACCCAGAGGGCTATAAACTTCTAGAGACTACCTTTACCTTTAGCTAAACCAGGGCAATCAATA